TATGTATGTATGTAACCTGTTCCTTCACGAGGTTATAAGTGCTTTCTGTTTTTGTCCAGCTGCTGCTGCCTGTTCATTGTTAATATTTCAGAATATCTTACAAACAATGCATTTTCTTATATTAATAAATGAATTTTATATCCAAGAAAAACAATATTACTGACCATATCCGTGAAAATATTCTTAGTAGAATAATGGAGACCTTAATAAACTGATATATAGACCCTACAGACTGTAAAAATGAAGACCAAGATAGTATTTCCTAGTAGAGATGCTTGGAATTAATAAGAGGCATATATGTATAGACATAGTTGGTTGAGGCACTATGCTATGAGCCAGCAAGTCAGGTTCGAATCCGAATGAAGTGGTTTTTTCCATTCACCTAATCCTTCCACCACACTATGGCCCTGGGGTCAACTCAGCCTCTAAAACAAATGAGTACCGGGAATCTTCCTGGGGGGTAAAGGGCAGCTGGCATGTAAGGCTGACAATCTGACCACCATCTATGAGCCGACTGTCTTAGAAAATGTGCAAGCCTTGACGTCTCACAACTCTATGAGTCTTCACAACCCATTACAGGGATAGCTTTACCATATATGGATAGAGATCATACAAATATACATCACGATTTCCATGGATATGTGCCGCTATATATGTTTAAGCATTGTTTCGGTAACATGTACGTCCAGTGACCAATTGGGTTAACTCATTTGTTTAATATGTGAGAACTTCGCCACAGTTTTGCTGAATTGATCAGTGAGGACATCAAAATAGATATCACCTTTGAAGTAAGTCCTTCAGATTCTTACAAATTAAAAGTCTGACATTAATGAAATGTGTTTCATGGGAAGGGCTCTTCAACCACAACAGAAACAAAGAAATAGCAATGGAATTTTAAACTTCACAAAAAACAATCATCCACAGGAAACTAAAAAAAAAAAAAACATAAGAATGAATTCTGACAGGACTAAAGAATGTAGAGAATACAGTCTTCTGGGTTGCAACACTGTGTA